AATTATGGCATTATTCCCTGTTGCCTTACAAAGAAATGACAATGTACATGTTTCTTGTACTAACAGAACTAGTGACCATTATGCAGTTAGCAGCTGTTCACAGGCAGGTCTGGAAATTCCAATATTTACATTAAAGGTTACTGAAGTGTTTCCTTGAAAATTATTCTCACTAAATCTTTTAAAAGTACTAATTCCATCAGAAGAAATCACTGTCCTTGTGAATGGATGAACTTGCAGTTTTAAGCTAGTTGAGTTCATATTCAGTTAATAAAACTGATGATAAAATAAAAATTGGCCCTTTCTGAGTTGAGTTTGGTTTAGCTTTATTGCAGAAGTGGAAATGCTTTTTGTGTTCCATAATGGTGACCTCTTGTGGGGTAAACATGTCAGTGTTTCTGAAGGAGCTTTCTGTAATACATACTGTCATTTTTAGTGACCAAATAATCTATTATTTTAGTAAAATTACTTATAATCTTTTACAATTAGTTATTAATATGCAGATCTCATGCTGAGTGTATGGGAAGATTTGAGCATTGTATTCTGATATACTTTGTGTGTGTCTATACTGTATCTTTTAGTGACCAGATGAAAAAGCCTGGCAGAAGCTCATCGTGGCCAAGGAGTACAGGCTGGAAGAAACAAGTAACAGGTACTTCAGGAGACATTTCTAGTTCTAGTCAAAAAAATGCAAGATACAGTCAAATAGAAATAATCTGACTTTTGTGATTTGAAGATCTTGTTCTTCTTTATTCACTGAACAATACTTTTGGTTTTCTAGATCTATTGGGGGTTTTTATTATTGTTGGTAAAGAGAAACAATATTAATGAGATTTACTCTAAAAATATGTTGATTTTTTTTTCCATGTTTTTCCCATGTGTAGGCTTAAGAATTTGCAGTCCGTTAACACCTTGTTTGCCTGTTACTTTTTGTAAACTGGCATAGTTGCACAGAAACTAATGAAGTTATGCCAAGCTGTATTAGCTGAAGATACAGATTCTGGATTGCTCTGTAGGGATACGTTTTGCTAATTTTACATAACAGATTTTAATTAATATTTCCTCATAGCTGGCATGTTTTGTACATGGCAAGTGCAGATTTGAGAGTCTAGTATGGAAATCTGAAGTTTCTACTCTGCTATTGTTATGCTTTATTACTCTTTTTTTAGAAATGAGAAGTTGCATTTCTCTGGATCATTCTGGTGAAGGCTGTAGTGTGCTCTGCTTTCATTTTCTTCAGAGCAGAATTTACCATGTCTCATTTAGCATGAGAGTATTTACCATGTCATGAGAGTTAGTATTCTGTGGGGCTTTGTTCTCTGTTTATAGGCCTGTTAATTTACTTCTGCTATTTTGTTGGTGCTATTAACAAATAATGTGTGTTATTAGGATTGTTTCTTTCTATATATACTTTTTTAACAATATGTAGCTTCCTTAGTTAGTGCATACTTTGTCTTTATTCACAGAATAAACAGTGGGATAGCAGTAGGAATTCTCAATCATTTCTTTCCTATAGTGCAGTCCTGGTGGGGACTCTTCATTTATAGATCATTTCTATTTTCTGATATGGTTTGTGTTTCTACTTTCACATTTTAGAGAGGAAGTAGACTGTTTCAATATTGATATATTTGTAGCCAGTCAGTATTCCGTGAAAAGGCCACATATGATAAGTCAGGCAGTACACGGCTTTTGAAAGCTCAGTGTTGCTAAGGCTCTTGTATTTACATGCTAAAAACAGCAACCAATAAATGTAGACTGATTAGTGATTTTTTTTTTTTTTAAACCAGAATGCAAAGCTGTGGTTAAGACCTATGAAAAACTGAGACAATGAACTTCAACTTTCTGAATTCTTTTGCATGAGTATATTGTTTAGTAAAAGCTGATTATCTTTTTTTTTTTCCCTAGTTACAAGAGAGATTTATTTTTTAAAATTATGCCATTATGATTTTTAGGTTGCTATATTTTTCTGATGAATATGAGACAAGTGCAGCAGAGTGGCATAAAAAAATCAGTTTTTTCTTCTGAATGAAAAATTTAATGGCTTTGCTATTTTTTTTCTAGGCAGAAGTTTGGCCATATCTGCAAATACATACATGAACTATACTATTTCTTGCTTAATAAAGTTAAGCATGCGTATAGTTAGAAAGTCAGTGCCATCTTTCAATTTAAGAGCGGTGGCTACAAACTGGAAAGAAAATAAATAACTGAGTCAATATGTGGGTTTTGTGGTAGGAAGGAACAGTACAAACTAGTCTGGTGTTCTCATTTCAGCTGTGCTCTTACATTATCTGGAGCAGAACTTTCACTTCATTGCAAATGCTGCATAGTGTTTCATTAAGTGACTGATTGATCTAAGTAAGACTATTAACTAATTTGATCTAGAAAATAAAAAGGCGTGCAAAAGAAGTAATTATAGTATTACCTAATAACACATGCTTATACTAATATGTATATATGCACACACCAACAATATTTAGATATTACCAGTGTATTATTTATGAACCAGCAGCATTTTTTTGTATTTGTTGGAGCAGATATAATTGATAGATTTATTCTGTGTAAAAGATAGGTAGAGAGTTAAAGTTAATACAGATATGTAGAGTCTGGATTTTTTTTTTAAAGACTAAACTTTTAAGATTGTCAGGAAGTTTTTTATTATTTCACTGTTTCAGGTAATGCTCAGCAGACAGTAATTTTTTAAGGCCTGATACTGTTCTCATGATGCAAGCCTCTCAATATCAGTGTTCTCTTGTAGTACAGTATTTTTTACTTACTGATGATAATGTTAAGAATTATTTACTTTGTAGTTTAAATGCAAGAGCCAGTAATGAACAATAGGAGATCTTTCGGAAAAATCTGTTGCTTAAAAAATTGTATATATTCTAGTCTTAATGGCTTTTTTAATGTTTTTTTTTAGTGGAGTTGTGTGGCTTTTATTTCCCTGTTAAAAAAAAATCAACAAACTCAACACCAAAAAAAACCCCAAACCCCAAAAAACCAAACCCTGTCTTTATAGCAACAACTTTGGTTGCCTGCAAGATGAGGAGCTTAACCTAAGCTCAAACTCCAAAAATATGCCTATGTGCACCTTGTAAGCAATTGTTAGATCCCTTAAAATTAAAGTTGCACAGAAACTCTGGCTCTCCTGCTGTAGTGGGACAATGGTCAAGGCCAGAATTCTGTCATGTACCATATTGCCAGGTGAATATGAAAAGGATATTCAGCAAGTTAGAATAATTCCCAGTGATGTTGCATCCGTATGACAATCAATTCTGGAATCTGTTTTTAATAAACTGTGTTTCATCCACTCCCTTCTCCAATCTGAAAACAGATCCGTGCTGTCAGTCTCGTTGCCAGAAGAATTCCAGTCTGCTGATTTTTTGATCTACTAGTTTTTAACTTGATGTCTGCTGATAGGCTTTTTCTATCTTTTCTTTTAGAAGCAAAGTATAGAAAAAGCTGACATAATTTTTAAAACTTCTCTTTGTGAAGTGGACACAATTCTGAGAATGAACAATAGCTCTTTCTCAGTCACTGTGGAGGAAGTGGGTTGAAAGTTGCCAAGAAAACAGAGTTGGTTGCCTTCAAGGTTTCTAAGATGTTTATAGGAAGCAAAACATCTTTGAGATTTCTGTAGTTTGGTATTCATTTCCCAAGATGTGTGAAAAATTGTTTAATGTAACAAAGAATAGGAGAGAAATACACACTTTACAAAAATATAGTCAAGAAGTTCTGAAAACTAATTGCATTAATTGGTTAGAATTGCTGACAGGATGTAATAGCTATCAAGACTGTTTTTCCCTAACTGACCAAAGAGTCAGTTAACCAAGCTTCATGTGATATTGTGCACATGTACTAGATAAAATTGTGCAATCCTAGAGGATTGTCTGTGGTATGGATATTTTTTAACACAGAATAAGCTGTCATGTGGACACAGCTGAAAAATAGTCGGGCACATTGGTGCAAAAGTAGTTGTTACCTTCCAATTCAGCGATCAAATGAAACACTGTCAGCAAACGAAAACAAATCTGGCTTTACAGGACAGCTTTACGTATCAAAAAATGTATCCATCTAGTTTTGTTTGAAACTTTTTTGGTTTTGAGAAAATGTAAATAAAAAGTTGGGGGTTTTTTGACTGATGAATAAAGTATTTATAGCTGTTTATTTGTGTCCAAGTTGAAACCTTCACTAAATATGTGCTTTTGTTTTGAATGTATTTTGAAGGCTTAGAGAACGCAACAAGAATAAATAAATCAGAAGAGGAAGAAATCTTTTGGCATATGAAGATTCTACCAATTCTGCATGAACTGGAAAAGGGTGGGTAACACTGTTTTTGGAAAGGTGTAATATATGTATTATTTCCTGCAGGAAACATGGGACACATTTGTGTTTACTACTAAAGAATAATAGCAGATGGACTGTGTAGCATTTTATGCTTTCATATGTTCAGTGACATTGCAGTGTAAAACTGGCCGGGGCAACTGTCTCTAGGTGGTCCCATTTCAGCCAGGGAGGTTGGACCAGATGACCTCCAGAGGTACTTTCCAACCTCAACCATTCTGTGATTCTGTTAAATAAATTTGAAAAGGAAAAGGAAAAGGAAAAGGAAAAGGAAAAGGAAAAGGAAAAAGGAAAGGAAAGGAAAGGAAAGGAAAGGAAAGGAAAGGAAAGGAAAGGAAAGGAAAGGAAAGGAAAGGAAAGGAAAGGAAAGGAAAGGAAAGGAAAGGAAAGGAAAGGAAAGGAAAGAGGTTTAGAGAAGATGTTGTCTGATTAAATTTCCTTACTTTAGATAACAAAGTTCTGCCAGCTTAGCAGTCAGTGATGAGGTAATAATTTCAAGATTAAGGTACTACACAGATTCACTGTTTTAAGCAGAGACTATATTGAAGGTGTCCATTAATTTCAGAAAACTAAGGAAATCTTAATGACAATTTCCATTTGTGCTTAAAGTGTTAGGTGCCTCAGAAGAATATGTTGACCCAGAATATTGCAGCAAAATTGAGTAAATCAAGGACGTCTTGAAAGATTGAACTCTGAAATCCATTTTTATGTTTCATTCAAGAGGTTATTTAGTTGTCTTCTATAGACATATTTATTTAAATGATGGGAATATGAAAAGTAGATTTGTTCTTACAAGTGGTTAAAAGTGTGTGAAATTAGGGGATTGATTCTGTTTCACAGGATCTTTTGCAGTGTTCATGCATGGTACAGAATTGAGATTGGTTTTGCATAGTTTTGCAGTTGATGAGTATGAAACATATGTATGGTGCTGAGTGATTCCCAAATATATCATTATTTTTAAAAGACAGAATTGTCATTCTCAATTTTCACAACCAGTTTTCACACCCCTTTTTCCTCAGTCTTTGCTTGATTTAGTTACTGTGTTGGGGTTTTTTAGCTTTTTAAAAACCTTGATTATGGTTTAATTTTTCTAGTAATAGATTAAATTATCTAATGGTACTTTCTCACCAGCTGATTGAATATAGTGCTACAAAATTCTTAAAGTTAAGAGTTTTGCTGCTGCTTGAACATTCACACAGCATTCACACTGAATTGCATTGTTGCTTGCTGCAGCTGTGTGTTACATTGCTTTACTTAGGTTGTTTACTACACAATTGCAGTTTTTTCTATCAAAAGGAATATTAGAATTCCGTAATACTAATGTTTTGAGTAGGTCTGTTGGTAATTCAGTATTTTTTAATTTTGGGTGCAGTCACTTGCTTCATACTTTTCAGCTAGTTCCATGCACCTACATTTAGTTCACACTTAGCTTTTTATATATTAATAGAAAAGCCTTTTTCTTCATCTTTCTTCCTCTAAAAATGTTTGTAGAAAAATCTTAATTCAAAACCACATCTGAAGTTTCATCTCAAACTCCAGTATTGTCTAAAATCTTAAGAATATGATGTGTTTGAGATAATGGTTATGAGACAAAACCAGTTAGAACCTGGAAGTCTCTTGTTCTAGAGGAGGAAATACTTTATTTTGTTACGTTTCAGTACTCAAGGGAGGATAAGTTTCAAAAATGCCCTATGGGATGAGTGATGAAAAATTGTTGTTGTTAATTTTTATTAAATGGAATGCAGACCTTTCAGTTTTGATTCCTTGCCACTCCTGTTTCACTGTTTAGTGGAGCAGAGGATTTAGAATCATGCTAAATTTTGTTAAATTTTCTGTCATGATAGGAGTAGAAATGGAATAGTCATTGCTGTTCCTGCAGTATGATGATTGCAAATTGAGAGCTTTCAGGCACTGCTCAGCATGAGAGGTGGGTCCCTGTATATGCCTACAGGTTTGGGGCCATAGATACAATGGTTTTTGTCATAATTGCCTGTCTATATATATTTCATCACAAGTGCTTTTGAATATGACTGTTTCAGCTGTGAAGTACATCCTGAGTAAATGCAGTTTATACAGGCAGTTCAAGTTGATTTATACCATGCTTTGTTAGTGTCACCTTATAGACACTTAAATTACCTTAAAGCAAATGTAATACAAGGAAAAAAAAACTCAATTCACTCTTGAAATTTAAAAATAGGCAGGACTCTTCCTTTTCCTTCTAAAGTAAAAATGTACATGGCTATTATGTTGAGATGCAGATTTTGTAATAGTTTACTGCAGAATTTTGTTTTGTTTAGTTTTTTAAAGTGTATGAGGGACTCAAGTTAGGAGGTAGGTGACTTTTTAGTCAATAGGCCAACAGTCCACTCAAATGTCTTGCACCTCTGCTATTCATTGCAGAGTTCTAACAAGTTTTTGCATTCATTTCTTCTTAATCTCAGAAAGGTTTGATATATTAACTTATGTATAGGGCAGAAAAATATTTTTCAGCTGTCTGTTTTTCACATGTAATGTTTGGTGGAGCTCTTTAAAGAATGTATTCAGATTAACAGTTTCCTGGTAGACTTTTGGTCAACCTGATTATTCAACATTAAAGGTGAGTTTCAGTTTAGCTTTAGGCATTATTTTGGCTCTGTGATTTATCTTGGCTTGAGTCTTTCCTTTTTGAAAGGACAGAATAAAACTATTTCTGAGGATGGTGTTGTCATTTTGAGAGATCTATTTAGCACCTAATTTTTGTTGTTGTGCAACCTTTTCTTTATTTTGTCCTCCTGTGTCTTTGCTTATTGAGATGCTCTAGAAAAGGTGGCACTGATAATTATTTTTTATTTTTCTCTCCTTTCCCACCCCGTTCAAGCAGAAGAAAATATAGAAAATCTTTGTCTGGCTTGCACAAAGCTCCATGAAACCTTGAATGAAGGAAATATGCTTGGAAAAAGATTTAAAGGGAGAAGCGTGCTTCTGAAGACGTTATATAAACTTGTAGACATTGACTCAGTTCCACTTTGCCTGAAATTGGCAAAGATTATTCTGGCTGTAAGTATTTTTAAAATGCTGTTTGGTAGAATGTGAAGCTCAGAATTGTGAATTACAAGTTGAATTTAAGTTTTCATTTCATACTCTAAAACTATGTCTAAATCAGCACTTTCCTAAGCACAATTTCTTGCCATGCAGATACTAGTCTGTGGTTCATCCAGGTTGGCCCTTGTTGGCAGAGCTTGTTTTTTGCAGAGAAATTGCCTCTGGGAGAGGAAGGAGGGACATAAAATAGGATAAGACGGTGGCAGGAGTACTGCTTAGGCATGGAAAAGAGACAGTGTCCTAAGCTGGGATACACATGCAGGGATTTAAACAAAACAATAATGTAAAAAATTACACGTGGAAATGAAGTTTAGTTTTTGAATAATATCTTGACCTTACTAAATACCTATATCTGAAAGTACCAAAACAGTTTTTTTTTTTGAAAGTGACTAAGTCTCTTTCGCTAGTATTTCTGATTGATACTCTCAAATTGGTGGTTTTAAGCCTATTGGTTCTGCTTCTATGGACTATATAGACAGTCACTGGTGAAAGGATAACAGCTGACAGTGTGTTGTAGCCATTTTAGTAATGTGTATGTGTGTTGGGGGGGGTTCTCTTTTAAGGTAGTGTGCATTGTTTTAAATGGAAGATATAGTTATATTCAGTTATTAATTAGATTAATTAATTAGATGTTAAGTGGTGCTTATAGAAAGTAAAGTTCTGTTACAAATGCTTTTTCTGTGGAATCTTTTAAAAATCATAAATGAGAAGAAATTGCCCTTGAATGTGGGGGAAAGGAAAAGATTTGTAATTGTATTTTTAACGCTTTTACTTCCCTTTCATGATCTCTCAATGACCATTAGTACATCATAAAATCTTATTTCCTGATACATGATAATAACTTTCATTATGGCATCTACTGTTGTATTGGAGTTCTTTGAGATATGGCCATAGACGGCAAGCCAGTAAATTCTGTTCAAAATTTCTTTGTGAGTGTGAATTAGAGAAAAAAAATGTGCAAGTTACTGGTATACTATCTGCAGAAAATAGATTAAAAGTTTCTATGTTATCTGTTATTTTAAAGTCAGTGAGTACAGTCTGCTAAATAGAGCTTTCAAAGTCCTTTAATTCTGCAAACTTTTTAGTTTGGCTTGGTTTCCTGTTAGGATTTTGGCTGGAATTTAATAGTTTTGTAGGAGTAGAAGTTTGTTATGATGTCCAAATTTGTAAAAAGTTAAGGTGTGGTTTTGTATGTAGATTTTAGTTGTGATTTTTATGTCTGTTACTTTCTTTGCAGATGAAAGTGGATGGAAAAAATCTTCTCAGTGCTTGCAAGCTTGCATTTATAATTTGCAGGAATGAAAAAAACGATTCCATCATTCAAAGTGATAGATTATTGGGTATGTATTCTGTTCTTGTATGTAAGTTAGAAGTTGAAATTCAATAGCTAGATTGATCATTTTTCAAGAAACATTCTCAGAGTTAACTTACTTGAAAATCCTCAGAAATCACTTAATGACATGGGAAAATATTTTTATTCTAATGAATGGAACATGGGAAGCAGAAGTAAATATCAGTTTCAATCAGTTACTAGAAATTCAAAAGTATAAAATTAGTTAGGATTACTTATTTATCTAAGATACATCCACTGAATTTAGAAGGTCTCACTGTGAATGATATATTGAACCTGTGCTAACAGCTATTAATTTTAACAGTTTTCAGATATCTGACAGTGGTAGAATAAAGCAAATCTGTTACAGTAACTTTACCTAGATAAAAAGTAAATCTAAAAAGGCTACGTGCCCATTTCAAATGTGAGATTTGAATTAGGCACCTGTGCTTTTAGTACTCCATTAGAGATGCTTTAAGACATTTTATTTTTAAGGATGTAGTGAGAATAAACCTCTTCAGAATGTCTCAGGTTTAGTACATGAAATTTCAGGCACAGACATTAACTTTAGCAGTACTCATTGAAATCATCAGTCAAGATTTGCAATATTTTTACAACTGGTGCTGGTTCTTGAAGCCCAGGGGAACAAAAGTCAGACTCATTCTCTTATTCAGCAATAGTTGTTTCTTGGTTTCTAGCTAAATACCCAGTTTTTCTAGCCCACTTTTTAAAAATGTAGGAGTTCAGTATGAGTGGTTTTCTCCCAGTTATTAACCCCTTCAATGACTGAACTGTATCAAACATAAATATTAATATTAGGCTTTCTGCATAATGGTTTTCCTTTTAGATTGTTTGTTGGATGTCCTGAGAACTGAAGATCTACAAAAAAACAATGAAGCTCTCCTGTATTGCTTGGGAGCTATAAAGTTCATGTCTGGAAACACAGTGCTCCTTAATGAAATGGTCAGCAAAGGAGCTGTTGAAATATTGCTGCAATTACTGAAGCAGATTAATAACATAAAAGAAAATGACATACATTTCTACAGTTTGGGCCACCTATTAGTCCAGGTTAGCATTTACTTGTATTTCTAAAAGCATGCACTTCAAGGGCAAATTCAATATGTAGTTAGGATTAGCTTATCTCCTCTGTGTGCCACTGACAGATTTGCAGCTCTATTTGCATATAAAACTTCTTCTTAAAAAGTTTATGTAAGTTCTTCAGGACCTAAATTTAATTCATTTAATTATCATAGATATTTTTGTGTATTCAACGTTAAAGGCTTTAGAAAGTCTGAAGTCAATAGAAATAATTTTAGGTACCTAATAAAACCAGCTTCTCATTACTGCTTTATGATGCTGACAATGTTCTGAATACTATAGTAAACAGATAAAAATGTGTTCCCTGTCTAAATCCTTTGAACTGAAATAATAAATACAAACTGATTTTGCAATACTCTAGGATTACAAAAAGCTTTTTATTACAAGAATAATGCATTTTTTAAAATGCAAAGGAAAATATAGCTATATTTCTGTGACAAAGTGTTTTTGAAGAACTGTAATTTCAGGAAAAGGTAGTTATAAAAGCCAGCACTCTTTGAATTTTTTTAAGGCAGCAGGCTCAAAACTATCTTTTCACATGAGGTACCTTGATAAGTGGTGAAAACTAATCCTTTGCCCTAAAACTGTTTAAACTTTAGTGGTTTAAAAAAAAAATTAAGTAGTTAATTCTTAAGTTATGCATAAGTTGTGCGTTATGCCATAAGTTGTGGCATTTTTGTATTTCTCAAGGATTTGCCAGGTAGAATCATAGAATCCTTTAGGCTGG